ATCATGTATCTTGCGATTTTTAGACACAGCCAAGAAATTATATTTCACTATGACCAACATATTCCACTTTATAAGATCGAGTGTTATATATCATAACAAATATAAAATAACAGCACTACATTTCACATCTGTTTTTCTGAAAGAAAATCATGTATCTTACGATTTTTAGACACAACCAAGAAATTGTATTTCAGTATGACCAACATATTCCATTTTATAAAATCGAGTGTTACATTTCGTAACATAATAATAACACTGAAGATCTTAAAACAAGACTCAACCTCTGACGGAAGCAAGAAACTCTTTGGAAGGCTCGAAATAGATGAACATTTCAATCTAGCAGACCACTATCATAATATTCATGCAGTCATTTTTCACTGTGGTTCTGGCGTTGAATCTGGCCATTATTACGCATTGGTCAAAGACGAAACGGACTGGTTTAGTTTGACGATGGCTGTGTCACGAAGTGTTCTGGCGATGTATTGAATCTATTGGAGCCTCTGGAGACACCCTACATTTGTTTCATGAGAGAGAGAGGACATTGGAAGATCAAAATCTTCAGATGATGTGGTGTTGCAGGTTTTTTCCAGGTTTTCCTGCAGCTGAAAAAGCAAATGCAACACTGGAATTGATAAAGTCGCCCCGGAGCGCCAATTGATTTTTATTGTTGTTTTTATTTTTATCGTTGTCTTCAATATAATTTCATATTTCATAACATATATAAAATAATAGCAATCCATTTCACATCTGTTATTTCATAACATATATAAAATAATAGCAATTCATTTCACATCTATTTTTCTAAAAGAGAATCATGTATCTTGTGATTTTTAGACACAATCAAGAAATTTCATTAGTATGACCAACATTCTCCATTTCATAAGATCGAGTGTTATATTTCTTAACAAATATAAAATAACAGCAATATATTTCACATCAATTCTTCTGAAAGAGAATCACGTATCTTGCGATGTTTTGATACATTCAAGAAATTGTTTTTCAGTATGACCCACATAATCCATTTATAAGACAGTGTTTTACCTTGTAACCGATATTACGATTCAGCAAACTTACCATGTTTTCCTTAAAAAGACTTGCGGTCCTTGCAATTTGAAGACACATTCAACAAATAGTAATAAAATTCTTTTATTATCAGCTCTCTCGACAAAATTCAAAACAACTATTTAGATATAAAGTTATGGAGAAGAAAACTCAAGTTCATAATAATTGGTGAAAGTGGTCACATTCAGTTAACTAATAGAAAACTGAAAATATGGAACAAGTTACCAGTTTACCTGAAGTCTGAATTTGACGGAAATGTAGACCAGAAATATATAACAAACAATACTGATTAGGAAGAAACAAATATTGATCAACCAAAATATAAATGATTAGTAACCTCTGCATATAGAAAATGAAAACACAAATACCTACCGGCATTAGACCAAAATTTTAAGAAGAACCAGACTATAAATGTACGTTCAGACCAGAGATTTATTTTTTTAAATTTACCTCCGCAATAAACTATATCTGGTGTAAACCTTAGCGATAGATCTATCCGAGATTTTTTCGCATTTCTGAGATAAATTACTTGAGAGATAATATTGCTTAACATATCTGTTCTAGAACAGATAATGATGCTGAAACTTGGTTTACTTCAAATCATCTCAAACTAAACAGGGATGAGACATAGAAAATTATAATATCATCAAATAGACAACTAATGAAGAAGCAACATGTAGATTTATTGGGGTTTAAAATTGATGACATGTTAAATTGGGAAGCACATGTTACTGGTCTGTGCAAAAAACTTTCTATAAACAGGGATAAGACATAGAAAATTATAATATCATCAAATAGACAACTAATGAAGAGGCAACATGTAGATTTATTGGGGTTTAAAATTGATGACATGTTAAATTGGGAAGCACGTTACTGGTCTGTGCAAAAAACTTTCTACACAACTGTTCCTACTAAGACAGCTGAAAATGTGTCTTAGTCAAAATATGGTATTACAGACATACTTTTCTCTTTTTAACAGCCACCTAACATATGGCATACTTTATGGGGTCAGTCTTCACATGAAATTAAAGCCTTTCGTATGCAAAAATAACAATCCTCTATTTCAAAAACTCAAAATTCTTCCCTTGCTATGTATGTTCATACTTTATAACATTTTAGAGATTCACAAAAATAATACTAAGTACCTTACAAATGCTGACTTTCATAATTACCCCACTCGAAGAGGTGCACAACTGAGGCCTCAATTTTATAGACTGGATCTATCAGCTCGAAATTCACTCAACTTACATTTATACAATAAAATGCCAACAGACATTACCGGTCTGAGTTATAACCGTTTCAAGGCTAGAGTTAAGCACTCGCTATTAAAGCACTGTTTCTACTCCATCGACGAATATTTGAATTGTGAGACATTAATATTTTAATATGTTACATGTTTTTTATTTTTTTTTAATTCCATAATAAGTGTTTTAGAAGTAATCAGCGTGTATAACAACAATTATTCAATTGAATTGAACTGAAAGAATGGATAGGTCACCAAACTCACCAGACAGGAATCTGATAGAACATGTTTGGAGTTACATTTCGAAGAGGTTGCATACCAGAAATGATCCACCGGACAGCTTAGAACAGCTTCGAAATGCTATTTTGGAACAAACAATGTTCCTCAGCATGTTTTCGGCAAACTTATCGACAGTATGGGTAGAAGAGTGAAAGCCTGCAGAAGGGCTATTGAAGAAAGTAGAACAACTATTATGTACACTTTTCCTTCATTTGGATTTCTGCCATTGTCTTTCATTTTATGGATTTTATGGATTCATGTCTTCTTGAATAAATTATTGAAGAATAAAATATCGTTTGTTACATTTATTGTAACAAACGATATTGAATAACATACATCCAAAGCCATTTTGAAAATGATATAAGTGAAACCTCTGGCTTCAAAAACTTATGGAAACATAAGTGTAATGTGGAAAAATAACAGCTCTACAAACAGGTAAAACAATGACAAATTATCCTTTATCAATAATGTTCTTCTTAGCACTGAATCAAATTGCACACGTATGAATCCTTCCAACAACTCCCTCAACGTAGGATATTAGGCATGTATTAGCTGTGACAATATTGGTCCTCAGAGTAGTATTATAAATCGATTCCTGATCCAATACTTGATCAACATCCTTCTGTGTAGGATGTATTGACTTCCAAACAAATTCATGTACCTTTATTTCAATCATTTACATGGGAAAATATGTTGCACTAAGATTTAGATAAAATATTTACATCAATAGAATATCAATAGAAATCAAATTCCAAGTTACTCATCTGCGTCCTTGATATACTACCACCTACTGCATCCAGAAGTGTATCTCCATGTTGATCTTTCATTCTGAATTATAGGCCCACAATCTCATCAGTTCTTTTGCAGAAAATCTGAGAAAAAAAAAATACAAATTTTAATATTTTTTATATTGAAGTTTTATTTGTGAAATTATGAAACAATTTAAATTAAATTTATTACACTGAAAATAAGTCCTATAAACATAAACAAAATAAAAATCGCAGACAAAACCTTTATGGGGGGAAAATACTAATTTTGAATAAAAATGTTACTGTTTTGACATAGTACAGACAAAAAAGATACACTATGAATTATCAACACACTTCTCATTCAAAATTTTCCTAAATAATATATGTTTAAGATATGTTTTTCTGTTAACCAGCTGTCGCACCCATACGAACGCATGTGAATCGCATGTGAATCCTAACATGATTTTGGTGATAGTAAGTGAAAAATCGATTGGTCAGCCTGCGGCTTGAACCACCGACTCACACATCGGTCGATTGAGAGAGTCAACAAAGCACCCACGTCGAACTACCCAGCTACCGACCTACGATTTTTCCACTGATATAATAGACAAATTAATAGTAAATATCCCACTCTCAAGTAAACAGGGTCAGATCTATTAAAAACATCTGTTGAAGATTCAGTTTTCTCAAGACCAACAAGTGAAACAGAAGTCTCAAATGTCAGTTCTTGTCTAAGAAACTACAAAAGTATGGACCCATACAACATTAGCCCAACAATAATCAAAATAGTTAGTGATAAGATGATTAAACATTTGATAAATGTATGTTTCTCAAAGGGTGAGTTTCCAGATTTTTATAAGATTTGTAGAGCTACAGCCATCCACAAACAAGATGATAAAAATGACTGTAATAATTATAGATGAATTACAATAACCCCTTTATTTTCAAAAGTTATCGAAATTGTGCTAAAAGACAGGCTTGCTGATTATCTTGAAGCAGGAGGATATATCAACGAAAGACAGTATGGTTTCAGAAAGTTACACTGAGCTGCTCAAGCAGTAATGGTCATTATTCATACTATAGTAAAGACACAGGAATATTAACCAGGGCTGTGCTATGTGATTTATCAAATGCTTTTGATAGTATGCCACGACATGCTTCTAAATAAGCTGGAAAAATACAGAATAACAGGTTTAGCTTTAAAACTGTTGCAATCTTTCCTAACCATAATAAGACAATATATTATTCATAACAACATGACATCTAACATTCAAAAAATTCATCATGGATTTCACCAAGAATCCGTGTTAGGTCCTCTTCTGTTTATTTTGTATATAAATGCATTGCCATCATATGTAGACATTGCGGACACATTTCTTTATGCAGATGATTCCTCATTTATAGTTACATAAAAAAGCCCAGTATATCAGAAGAAATAACAAAAGAAACAAGAAAAATGTGAACATTATTTCAATTCGAATGTGTTGAGTTTGACCAAAGATAAAACCAAAAATAGATTTTAACAAAAAAAACTAAAAATGAAAATGACAATAGTGTGCCCTCCTAGGTTTTCATATAGACAGCAATCTAAAGTGGAAAACACACATCATTGAAATAAATAAAAAACTCTCCAAAGGTCATTTCGCCCTGAGGAGAATGAGGAGTGTGGCATACTTATGCATATTTGTGTGTTTCTCAACCAAGGCTGTTCACTTGTTCACTAACCTAACGGTTAGTAATTTGAAAAGTGAAGCTTTTTTATCAACGTTAACTCGATTCGTATCCCGACGCGGGATATGTAAGACAATCTATTCTGACAATGCCACCAATTTTGTAGGTGTTCATAATAAATTAACTGAGATATATGAAAAGTTACCTAAATTTGTCAATAACTGTGACAATTTAAATTTCTTGTTGAAAAATAAAATAGAGTGGAAATTTATCCCACCCAACTCACCTCATCAAGGAGGCCTATGGGAGGCTGCAGTTAAGATTGCTAAGTACCATATAACACGAGTAGTTGGTGATCGGCATTTGACCTTCGAAAATTTATCAACCCTATTTTCTCGAGTAGAAGCGATAATGAATTCCCGACCAATCACTCCATTATCTGAAGACCCCAATGACCTTATAACCTTAACTCCGGGTCACTTTCTCATTGGAGACTCCCTATTAACCTTACCTGAAATAGACTGTGCCGAAATTTCAGATAACCGACTAAAACAGTACCAAGTCCTCCAAAAAATCACCCACCACTTTTGGCAACGCTGGTCAAACGAGTATCTCACCAAAAACGAACCAAATGGAAGGAAACTCGTGCCCAGTCACTAACCATTGGCGATTTGGTTATTTTGCGAGAAGATACCACCCCCCCACAACATTGGAGAATGGAGAATGGCCGGCGGCTATGTTAACGCTCCCTATGATTGTCCACGCCACTGGCATCCCTCATCAATTTGACCGTCCAAGCAGCGAGCTATATACCTCTCGCCCCTTCTTCCAGGAATGGCATAGACGAGCATCGGTCATCGTTTTGTAGTTTAAAAATGTATTTCACTTCGCCTTGAACAGTTGTCGGTGCATGATGTAACAAATATTGCAATATAGCTTAAATTTTATCGGCGTTTATGTCTCATTTCAACAACTCGAAAGCAACATTTTACACAGACTCTAGTATGTTGTAACAGTATTCTTAGACTTAAGAAGAGCTTTTGAGACAATTGACCGTAATNAATTCGCAAAACAGCAATGCTTTGTTGGCATTATACTAACACAAAATAATTTTTTATATCAGATTTATATTTTTAAATAATAAATTAATATGACGTAAGTAACACAGTTTCACATGTGAATAGTTTATGTTTGTCCCTACTACTAGTGCTGCCTCTCGTGACATGTTCGCTGCACTATTCTCACCAAAAAGGCTCATTAAATCAAACTTCAATCCGGTTAAAATATGTATAATTCCCTTCCCTAACATCTACACCTTTCTCAGTTGGTTCCAAACTTGTCAATAAATCCCCTGATTTATCTGTCAGTTTATAAATTTCATCAACCGTTATTATAGGGCTCCCCCTACAATACAGGCAGGAAGCCTTGAGCTCCTGATGTCACAAAGTGTCAAATGTGAGAAGATATTACTTTTCTAATTGTAAACAATATCAAAATGTTCACAAGATATAAATTATATTACACCTATAGCACAAATGTTTTAATTCTAAGGGACTGTAATGAACCCAGGCTCCCCATGAAAGAAAGGAGAATGTCTCTTCAATACTTGAGACGTTGCTGTTTTGAAGTTATACTTTACCTTAGATATAGCTATATCGCCAGCTTACAGTAGGTTGAGGAAATGAATTCATCTTGTTAGGCATAAAAGCATATACCCTACACTAATATTTCTCCCCTTTTGGGCAGGTTCGAAGAACATAAATCTTTGTTGAGATAATTAATCAAGCATAAAAAATCTAGTCACTGATAAGGTTTTTTTTGTCCCTATCTTAATAGCTAAGCTTATCTGCTAGTGTCTCCCTCTAGGTGGCTTGAAGAACAAGAATGGTCTTAGAGTTCCAAACTTAGATAGATAGATAATACATTTGTCTCTTTAGGTTGTTCTTACACGAGATATTATGTCAAAAAAAAATTAAAAACAAACAACAAGTACAAACACATTAACAATAGTCAATTTCACACAAAAGTTAAAACATATTAGATGGATACATATTAAAAACAGTACATATAATGCATACTACATAGCTGAAAATGAATCAGCCACACTTTTGAATGAAATCGTCTAAAGTATAAAATGCTCCTTGGATTAAGAACTTTTTCAGTGTATGTTCAAAAGTTTTTATTTTTGTTTCCGATTTCATGCTTTCAGGCAATAAGTTGAATAAATATGCCCCTGCATACAGAGGTGATTTTTTGTGATGCGATCTGAGTCTGGGATGTAAGTGAAAGTCATTTTTCTTTCTCGTATCGTATCTGTGTGGTACTCACTGTTTTTGTTCGGTTTTCAGAATGTTAAAATATTGTTATTTGTAAAGGTGTTCCTACACGATTCTCTGTAGTCTAAATCATATATCATTCTGATGAACTTTTTTTTGTATTCCAAAGACTCTGGATGTTTCTGTGGACCTTCCCCATACCATGATGTTGCAGCTGAATGCAGCTGATGTTGCAGCCGAATATACCAGTGCATAATATAAATAATTCAAGTAAGGTCCATGAAAATTTTACTTGAGTGTATAGAAAGCATAATATAGTTCATTTAGTTTTTTGCAAATAGAATCTATTTGGTTGTTAAATGAGAACTTGTAGTCTAGTTCCATACCTAAGTATCGTGCTGACTCTGATGTGTTCATTTCAATATCATCAATATTTATTGTAAGATTGTGTGTTCGCCTGAGGGGACTTGTAAACTCTACGAACACCATTTTGTCTGTATTGTTAATTAGATGATTCACCTCACACCAGTGCGCAAATTCCTCTGTAACCAATTTAATTTTCTTTTGGAATTCAGTAGCGGTGTCAGCCACGACAATAACTGTGGTATCATCCGCATAGATAAAGGTTTGTCCATGCTTAATGTGAGTGGGTAAATCATTCACATAAAGCAAAAATAGCAAGGGGCCTAAGACACCACCTTGGGGAGTGCCAATTGTAATGTCAAAGTTATCAGAGAACTCGTCCTCAATCTGCACCTTAAGCGTCCTCCCAGATATATATGATAGGATCCACTGCTGAACTGGGCCTCGTATACCTATTGCCTCTAATTTGGTTGGTAAATACTCGTGCTTTATGGTGTCGAATGCACGCGACAGGTCAAAGAAAAGTCCTCCNAAATGAAAGTAATCTAAAAAATAGAACAAAACTTAAGGTTGAAGCTAGTTTGGAACTTCTGAAGCTATATACCGATATTTTTTCAAGTTCGAAGAGGATTTTTATCAACAAGAATATGGAACGGCAATGGGCTCATCCTTGTTACTGATTCTGGGTAACATTTTCATGGAGCATTTTGAGAAAGCATAAATCGAAACTTGTCAGAATGGTCCAAAGATATGGTTGACATATGTTGATGATGTATTTGCTATTTAGGACCATAACCCAAGTGATATCAACGTTTTCTTAAATTACTTGAGCTCAAGAGAACCCAAGATGAAATTTATATTAAAAAGAAAGTTCATAATCGACTTCTCTTTCTCGATGTTATGATCAAAAAATAATAGATATCTCCATTACTTGCGAGATCCTGAAATTATGTACCGATCAAATTTTTTCCATTCCAAAGAGGATTTTTATCGACAAAAATTTGAAATGGCAATGGGCTGGCTCATCCTTGTACCAACTCTAAGGAACATTTTCAGAGAGCATTTTGATTTTAGAATTTGTACTTGTTAAACTTTACTCTTCCATATGAGTTTTCACTACAGTTATTCACCATAATTATTGTTGAAAAATAGAGGAACAACTCTTTTTATGGGCTATAAAAACACTATGCCAGTCAGTTGCATGACCCCAAGATACTATGTTGAAGGACAAGGCATAGAATAAGTTTACTAACCCATTCTCATTATGAATATTCTGGCCCGTTACTTGATGACAATTAATACCACTATCCATGACAATAATTATAGAATTTTTACAATAAATCTCATTTAAAACTCGCTTCGCTACACAGTAGCTTCATCAGTTACTGGTATATCAAACTATTATACATTATCTTTTATATAACTCGTAGGAAACAGGTACAATAATGACATTTTATGTCAAAACTTGATTAGATAAGTGGTTATTTCCGGCAAAACCTGAAGATTTAGAAAGTACAAATCAATACCATATTATTTCTAGGAAAACAGTTAATATGCAAATACATTAATGACATTTTATGAGAACAAGTTCAACAATGGTGAATGAATGGTCCAGACAATTTAAAAGTCCTATTGGTCATTTAAAATAAAAATTGAAAACTCGCCTTTATTGATTTCCATAGATTATAGCAGGTTTAATTTTTTTGTGTTATAATAAAAATAGCACTAACTACAAAACACTAACATATACAAGAAAATCATGGGGTATAATGA